ATTAATGAAGGAAAAATAATATGTAATAAGAAGAATAAATAAATGGTAGAATATCTTTAATTGTGAAGAATTTTATTATGACTTATACGAGAAGTACTCGTACGGATTAATAAATATGTACGTAAACACGCCCGTAATTGTTTAGTATTTAGGGTTTAGGGTTTTGGATTCGTAAAATATATGTATGTACGTGAACAACTATATACGTACTATATGTATATACATATACATGCATAATTTAGCCATCCAAAACTCCGTTTTCACATTATTCTCGAACAAGCTAGTTTGTCGAAAGTAAATTGACGCTTCAATTAGAGTTCGTCTGCTTTTCATCATGTAAAACATTTTGATTTTATATTATTTTGCCAACTTTTATGCATTTGTTATTTAGTTTATAATTCAAGTAATGTTTTAAATGCTTTAGCTAGTCAAGGAAATAATTCAAAAACACACGAAATTATTTACGAAATCCATCTTTTCAGATTTCGTAATAACTATCTCTTGACTTTCCTCCCATTTCAGTCTAGATTTTGCAAAACCATTCCTCGATTTTGTTCTCGTATTTACTAAATCTATAATTAATTTCTTAATATGTTGTAAACCAAGACAAGAACTTTATCTATGTAACCTCGTTTTCATTTCGATTATTTCTCACTCTCTCAACATCTTCAAGCCCTTCCTTGCATCTACAATTTTCTTTTTTCTTTTTTTTGTTTTCCGGAAAAAACTTTGAAATGTCACATGCATGTGGGAGTAAAAATCCATCAGTGGACGAGCGTCCCGTAATTTTGGCACTTGAATATGCAAAATTCGATGCATCGAGCTCAGTTCGTCGACCTTCTATACCTCGACCGAGGATTCCTAAACACCCATTTACTTCGTTTGCTGCCGAGCTCTCCCCTTTCATCGTTACTATAAAGACTGGAGAGGTTGCTTCCTTTATTAATTTTTTGTCTCCTTTACATTTGTTTTTAATTTTTTTTTTGTGTTTTTTTTTATAACAAAACTCTCTGGAAAAGTTGGTTTATTACTGTTTTCTACTAAAGTATGAAAATGATTGGCTTTTATTGAAATAACATCATTCCCGTTTAGGGCAAATTACGGCCACCCCTGAGTTATAGTCAAATTACGAAAACCCCCTTCTTGTTTGGGTAATTACGACCACCCCCCCCTCAAATATGTATTATCTTACGAAAATACCCCTCTATAGGTAAATTTAGGGATGTTAATCGGTAAAACCGAACATAAATTTTTGTACGCCAACATTTCGTAACGTTTACTGAACTGAATATACGATTTGGTTCGGTAAATAACCGAATTACATAAATTTAATGTAAAAATATTTAAAAGGAGGGGTGGTTGTAATAACCCAAACAAGAGGGTTTATTTGTAATTTGGCCATACCTCAGGGGGATGGCCGTAATTTGCCCTTCTATTCAACTATTTGGGTGCTTATCTATGTCTAGTTGTCTCCCAATTCTTGTGCTTATTGGTTTCATCTGTCCACATATTCTGATTTTTGATTTTCTATTTTAGATTTTTGATTTTTTATTTTTGATTTTTGATATTTGATTTTTGATTTTTAATTGTTTTATTTATGTATACAAGGTAGGGTACTTTAGTTTCTTTGTCTTGATTTTATTATCTGTATTGTTAGACCTTTTGATTTTATTTGAATTCAAACTTGGATGTTTTACCTAGCTTTTATAGTAAGTGAATTAATAGGAGTTCTTTTGGATACGGCTGCATTTATTTGACTCTTCGATATTTTGTCCGAATAGATCTATCTTATCATAATTAAATCGACTAGGTGTCACAAATTAGGGCACAAAACGAATAAAATGTAACACTCATATACATATACGTGACAGAACGGAAGTTGGAATTTTGTTTTCTAAGATGCAATAAAGATTCGAAGTTAAGTTATTAGAACTTACGATCGTAAATCGTGTTTAGCAAACTAGTAATATAGTAAATACCGTTTAATTTTCAGGTTCTATGAAAATTTAAAGGGCCATTAATGCGAAACAAATGGAGATTGATTTCGATCTCAATATTTGAAGAGAACTTAACTCGATTTTAGATGTTCGACTCGACTAAGAGCCGCTTTAGTTTCTATGAATTATTAGGTGGTGGAGGAATTTTTTACGTCAATAGTTCATAATTATTGTCTCCTCGAGTTTTGGTAAATCATTCAAAAAGAAATTGATTATGTCAAATTATATGTTAATGTGGTGTTACTTTTATCCGTTTTCGCACAACTTCGTGATAGATTAATTTCAACCTTAAATTTCAGGGTCTTAACATCACAGAAGATTTATAATATAGTAAGTTATAATTGAACTCCGAGAGAAGAAAAATTGTGGTAAAAGAAATAAAAATAAGACTAATTCGTGGATGGAAGTACGGGAAAAGCAAGAAATCGAACACCACTACGATCGTTCAGTTGACGTATAAGAAGTTAACTAGTTACAATAATTTGATGTTCAATTTGCTTTTACGACTCTTCTTTTAGTGTATAAATTATATCTCATATTTTTATTTTTTTTCTGCTTATAGGACATTGGAAAACGGATACGAGATTCCTTTCAAGAACGTATCCACCCAAGGTGTGGCGCTTTATCGGTGGTGGGATGTATATATACTGTATCAGGTGATATATCGAACCCAAGAGTCGATATAAAAGGGTTAGCAACCGTATTTTGAGGTAAATATGCTTACTTGGGATTGAGTCGAGTGTTTATTTCTTTATTTTTTGGACGAAAAAGTAGAATTAATAATATGATTAAAGTTAGCTATTTAGCTTGATTCGATAAATATTGCAGTGTATTAAATTTTGTCATTTAGTGGGGAATTTGTGCAGATTTAGTAACTTCACCGTGCAAATAATATTTGTGCATTTTATCAATTCTAATTTCTAAACGAATAATTAAATTACATAGTTTTTTTGTTATACATCAACTTACGAAACCAATTTATTGTTATACTTTCAGGGTAATTTTTCCATAGCGACCCTCTCAGGCCGTTTCGTAATAACTAACAACGGACCTATACAGCTGGACTATTTGAAAGTCGGCTTTCAACCAGACGATGCGCTCGTCTGCGGTACTGTGATCGGGCCTCTGATAGCCGGTTGTGCTGTTCAGGTTAGCTTTTCTCGTAATAGTTCTTTTCTTAATTAAGATAAAATCAAACGAATCATCCTCCATTAGAATAACAAATTTTCACTATGTTCTTGTACAACATTTTATTTTATTTTTCATTTCTTTTTGTCCTAATAATCCAAATATATAATCGTCAATTAGTAGGGGTTATTGTGCAGATTTAGCAACAGCTCTGTGCAATTAATATTTGTGCATTTTATGTAAGACCGAATTATCGTACAATAGTTGTTATTTATGTTCAAACCGTATTTTTATTCTATTTTTCTTGCTGTTTTACCTATATTTGATCACTAATTATGTTACACTATATTTTCTATAAATTGAGAAAATAGAAAAAAAAAAGGCATTATCCAACATTTGAATGTCTTTCCAAAAGATTTATTTTCATTCTTCTTTGAAATATATTTAATTCAATTGCAGGTATAACTGAATGAGAATTCGATGCGTTGATTTTTTTTTGCGTGCCGTAACCCAACTAACGTTCATTTTAATGCATGTCACTCTGGGTTATGCCAGGTTGGATAACGGAGAAACGAGCACAGCTCCTCTTCAGTCACCACAGTGCACCTCTGAGGGCTTTGCCGTAAACGAAAATGCCCTTGTAATAATTTGAAATGTTATCGAGCGTTTTAGATTGGTTGGCTATCTACATTAGTAGATTGTGATAGCATTACATGATTTCGATTTCGGGACTCGTAACTTTGAATATTATTTTTTTGATAATATCGAAACCTTTTTCTTTCCGCTTCATCACATAAGCTGCATAAGTGTAAATTTATGACAGTATTAGTGCATGTTTCTTCGAACCTTATTCTCTAATGTGATCTTTGGATTAAAGAGACTAATGAATAAAATTGTGAAAATGGCAGGTTCATATAACAAATTATTATAGGCGATATTTTTCAATTTAAATAAAAATTAAAAACAAAATTTATAGTGCGGAAATTGTGCAGATTTAATCGATTTATAGTGTGGAAATTGTGCAGATTTAATCGAAAAACTCATGAAAAGTAGTTCATCATCTTTATAATACTTTGAACCTATGGATCCAATTAGTAGTATAAGAGTTTCGTACTAAAAACGATTATAACAGATTGTTTATAGCACGTTTACACTCGTAATTGGAGTAATTTGAAATCAACACAACCGTGAAAACTGCCCCATCATAATTGATGAGTTATTAGCATTATTATTTAAAATAGGAAGAATTAGACTTTCGATCACTAATATTTTTGGTCTAATTTCACCTTTCATCCTCGTTGTTTCAAGGTAGAGAAAATACACATTAAAATACCAATTTTCAGAAACATTTGGTCCACTCAGTCCCACTGTAGCGAACGTGACCGCAAATACGTCTGAATAAGGGCCAACGATAGAGAATTACAATTTTGGTCCCTAATGTTTTGCCCAATTTCACTTTTAGTCCCTGTTATTCCAAGGTGGACAAAATACACCGGTTTTCGGCACTCACCAAACCCGTGTAATGTCGAATTTCCAAAAAACATTCCATGTTAAGAACATTAGCAAAGACCCCCTATAAAATTTCCTAACTAGCCAAACACTAATTGGAACATAATAGAGTTCAACAATGAATGTAAACACAAGGTTGCTGAATACAATAATACATATAGAATGTAAATATTTTAATGCATTGAAATTTCAATATAACGAAAAATATGAATGTCATTATTGAAAAATACTTGGTAATAGAAGTATTCGATATAAATAGACAAAAATCGTGGCAAAAACAAAATTGTTTAAAACATTTTTTTTAATTAATTATGTTTGCAACAGCTTGGACATGGATATCTATGCTTAGAAGACAACAATCATAGACTATGAATCCTTTGTTAGGATCATTAGTAGTTGCAAGCTCAATGCATGCTGGCCATCCCCAACTATTGATGGAAGCTTAAAACCAATAACTAGTAGCTGCAAAAAAAGAAAAAAAAAAGTTTAATTTTTCGGCCTTTTTAACAACGAGTTTGAAACGTTGCAACGTAACTTACAATATCGCCTTGTTTGTATATCATCAAACTGGCTTTTCACGCATACGGTAAAACATGCCCGCACTCTTTCTAAACCAAGATGGTTCAGAAATATGCTAACATGGTTGTCGGTTCCCGGTCCACTTCCTTTCGGATCAAGAATAATCTTCCTAAGTTTACATAAAAAAAAATAATAATAATAAAAAAATTAAATTAAATGAAAAAAAGTAAGGAGAAAAAAGAGTATAGTTATGAAATAACACTTCCAGAAAGATAGTTGCAATAATACTAAAAAGTTGTACCACTTTTGACCTCCGGCTATGAATTGTTCACAAAAGCATCTTTCGTTCAATTTGGAAAAGTCCGAAATCTTGAAATCATGCTTGTAATGAATATTTATATTATTCAAAGACACGCATTCAATGATGGCGTCTTTTTTTACTACAAAAACCTCAGCACCAAACACAATGTTGTCGTTGATTAGATAACCATTTGATGGATCTGACAGAATTTTCTTAGAGATAAATTTTGAAATACCCCATTCAGACTTTGTTTCTAAGAAACATCTTGTTCTTCCTGTCAGTGAATTTTTTTGGTATCATAAAAAATACTCCTTAGCAATTTAAGATGTAGGATGAAAATGATAGAAAGAGAATAATACCCGGTGAAGAAAGATAATTGCCAGAAATCTGATTATAGAGAAAGATGTTGAAGACAACATTGACCTCCCAGTTTGCAGGAAGAGAACTCGTGTCCGCCATAGCCAAGCTCACAGAAACATACTCACATTTTTTTCCATTAAAATAGATTATTAGTGTTCTGTACAAATTCAAACATCCTCTATTACTACAAAGAATAATTATATAATTCTTTCAAAGTACGAGTATCCTTATTATAATTATGTATATGTATATAGAGAGAGAGAATGGGAAAATTTATCGATTTTACTTTTGGTCCCCATGTTCACAAAAAACACATTTGGTTGCTTATGCTTCAATAATTCAACACTTTTAGTCATTACTCTCAATTTCCCATTAAAACTAAGGAATCAAGCCTGTGCCCATCACAACGAAATAACAGTAAATTGACGGAAATGACTATAAGTGTTAAATTATTGGACGTGAGGACCAAATGTCACCAAATGTGTTTTTTAGACTAAATGTGAAATCGGTGAAAACTTGAGGGATGAAAACTGTAATTTTCCTGACAGAGAATCCAAGGAATATGCCTACCACTTATAGTCTCCAGCCACAAATTCCCTGGTTTCGTATTCGTCAATACCACACGGGCCAAGCAAGGAGAAAGATTCAATCTTAACCAGTAAATGAGCAGGTGGTGCTTCTCTTGTTCCCAAAGCGGTGATTTCTGAAAGCAGACATAGATTCGTATAAATTCAGCAATATATATATATATATATATATATATATATATATATATATATATATATATATATATATATATATATATATATATATATATATATATATATATATATATATATATATATATATATATATATATATATATATATATATATATATATATATATATATATATATATATAAACATATGAGAAAAAAATTGAAAAGCAAATTAGGTTTTGTGAGAATTTCCGTACCATCTATTGCTGGATTCACTGCCACGTTATTGTGCCCTGTGTTTGCAGGAATTAGGGTTTTCTCCAATGCTTACGTCTGCAGAGTTCTTGTTCAACACTCAAACTAGGACAATTAATCAGTAATTGCAATTCACAAGTTTTCTTGAAACTAATGCACCACTAATTTTTTGCGTAAGATTTTGTATATTATTTTAAGGAAATAATTAAAATTTGGCTTAATCCCACTTTGCACCCTTGAATTGCAGCATTTTGGCAATTTGCACCCTTGAAAAACAATAATAGCACTTTGCACCCTCAAAACACAATAAATCATTCACACTGCACCCTCAATTGAATAATAAAGTTTTTATTAGGTTTTTTTTTTTTCTGGGATGCAAAATAACAAATTAAATTGTTATTTTCATCAACCTTCCACATAATATCGAGCACACAAAGTGCGACAATATTAAAATTAGACATGATTATTGAAAAAAAAAAACTATATTTTCTTCCAAAATAAAATAAAATAAACGTTTATCTCTAAATTATTCGATTAATGGATCTTTAATTGTAACTGGTGAAAATATTAGGTAAATATATTTGGAAGAAAATATGATTTTCAGATAACTTGATAACAAACTGCATTTGACATTTGTCATCCTAAAAATACCACTGAAAACATTTTATTACCTTTATTAGGTTTAAAAATTCATTTGGGATGCATTATGCATGATTTATTGTGTCTCGAAGGTACAAAGTGCTATTAATTTGTTTCGAGGGTGCAAAGTGCCAAAATAGTATATTTCAAGGGTGTGAAGTGGGATTAAGCCTTAACCTTTTTTTTCTTTGAACTAACACCTTCGAAATAGGGGAAATTTTGTACACGCCCTAAGAACTAATATTCATATAAATAGATCCACAAAAAAAAACAAAAAAAAAAAAATTATCTCTAGATCATGTAAGATAAAAATACACTCGTCTTGTTTAAATTACTTATAGAGCATAATCCGAAATGAATCTAAAAATTAGAAAAAAAATCAAAGGTTGTAGATTTTTATGTTGACTTTCCACCACAACTTAAATAAGAGCTATTGGGGTTAATATGCATAATGATTTAGAATTGGGGTCAAGGTGCAATTGGTTAAATTATGATTTTTGGAATGAAATTGGAGTAAATTAGATATTAAGGAGCATTTTAGTCTTTGGTAGGGTTGATGTCCTTTTTGGTACAAGTGATTTTGGAGTGGATGGATTACCAAATAAGTAACATCCCATGGGTTGATTTGCGACTTGCCCTAAAATAATAGGTCGTAATCTAATGTTTGGTTATAACGGTTATGAACATATATTGTTCAAAGTGATCTAAGCTAAATGGTCCGATAGAGAAATTGAGATATGTGATGCATTGAAGGACAACTGAAAGAAGGCCCAAAGTAGGAAAGCCCACTCCAAGCCCAAGATGTTGGGTTTCGGGCACGCGTACGCAGCGGAAAACAAAAATTTAATGCGATTTAAACGACTTTAAAGCACATAAGCACATGCCCGACAAATTAAAATCAATTAATTGCGTACCTTTGCGCTTCCAGCGAAATTAAATAACAACATACATGCTAATTAATTTAACCGAATTTAAATCAATTAACATACTCGCGTTTAAACCAAATAACATGCTCGCGATGATTTAAAACGATTACACATAATCACATAAAATCATACGAAGCAAACATGAAATCATAGTTTAAACATAATCGAATCGAAACTAGGGTTTCGTGTATTTACCTCTTGAAGCGTGAGGTAGGAGCGTTTAGCAAGTCGAGATTGCTACGGAAACCAATCCGTACAATCGGGGCAGCAGCGGTGCAGCGGCAGCAGCAGCAAATCGGCCACGGCGGCGCGTGGGGCAGCGTGCGGCTTCGGCTCGTGCGCTGCTCTTCGATTCCTCGATCTTCGATCTTCCTCCTCTCGGATTTCACCTCGTATACTTCGATCTACTAAAACGTGGCACTAGACACGAAGTAGTTAGAATAAAACGGAAGAAAAAGAGAAGGAAAGAGACTACCAAGCCAATCGGCCGATCAACGGCCGATTCCGGCGAAACGGCGGAGTGAGCGGCGGCGTTGGCCGTGGGAGAGAGAGGCCGAGAGAGAGGTGGACGGCTGCTAGGGTTAGGGTTTTGTTGTGTGTTTGTGCAAGACCTATAAATCAAGTATTTATATGTCTTGCATAAAACCCTAGCGGGCTTAAGTTGGACCTGGCCCAACAGCTTAAGTCCGTTAGTACTTTTAATTGCTCGTCTCTCTTAATTCAATGACCGAAAAATTGCAACGATTACATTTTCGGAATCATTATAATTTCCTCGTCATTACGAGTGCCATCTTTCATTTTCCAACTTTCCAAAAGTGGAAACCCTAGTTCAGTGCACTTTCTAAATTTGGAAACTTCCCGATTTAGAAAGTTCACTAATACGTTCGCCTATTCTTCCTTTTCTTATTCTCATTCATAATTCCAAATTACGAATGTTGGACTCAATCGTATTGACTTCCAATCATGCAAAGATAAACTATTTTACCTCTGGCCGTTTATTCAAAGATCTCATGAGCACGAGCAGTGTGACCCTCGATGGTTCAGGTGTAAGCTAGCCGTGGGCCCACAACTCTTTGTGGTCAAAACTCGTCCCTTAGAGTTACGATTAAGATGAAGCTCGTTTCACCTTAATCACCCAACGAATCAAGATTGGCGTCTAGCAACTACGCGTCATGATTCCCTAGATACAAATGAAGTGCCTGCAAGAACCTTCAGATATAGTTAACGTACAGTACGGTCCCTTCGATTCATATGTCCCGATCGAACTAGAGGCATTGGTTCATCGAGACCTCTTTATATGTTCGTTGACGGTGCGATCGTTCCAAGTATTGTAATCGTCACGTGCATGACTTAGAGAATCGAATCCTCTAATCATCACTTAGTCAGCTCTGGCCAGAGACTTAGAATGATTACAAACTATCAGAACACACAGGACATCCAAGACTATTCTAGCGATCGAATCCCCGACTACAATGCACAGACCTCCCACTAGATTTCAGACTGCACGAACACTGGCCCTTGGGATGGTCCTCGGTGGAACTCAGGGATAGGTCACGATACAGCTGGTCCTCTAGTGAAGTCACGGTGATGTCTAGGTCATAAGGACTAATGGTGTACAACTATAGCATAGATATCTCTACTCGATTATTGGGAACCACTTAGAGATTTCTAGGGTGAGGGAGTTCAGTGAACTCGTCAACTTACGAGCACCCACTTATGCATGCCGATATCACAATACCGTTTACTGATGAGATGCAGTACACATACACTAAGTGCTAGTCTTAATGGGAAAGGCCGATATCCTCATTAGTGGCGTAACCCTTCGACTAGGAACACGTTTAACAGTTATAATACTTAAGTAAATATCTCACGATCCTAACGATCAATTACTGGTACTTGTAATAACTGTAAGGACTATATCTATGCTTGTGACAAAGGGACAAAGATATAGAATGCCAATGTGTTTTATCATTAATACGAATAAAGGTTCGTTTATTACAATAATAAATACGAAAGACCACAGCCACATGTTGGCTTGTTGGTCACCTACTCTAACAATCTCCCACTTGACCTAAAGCCAACTACCCATAAATCGCAATCCCATCGACTCTCGATGTTTCTCATGGACCGATCTCGGTAAAGGCTTCGTGAAGGGGTCTGCAACGTTCTCTTCCGAGGTGACTCGTTCTACCTTAACTTCACCTCTATCAATGATCTCTCGGATCACGTGATACTTCCTCAGAATATGCTTCGACTTCTGATGAGATCGTGGCTCCTTAGCTTGCGCCACGGCTCCGGTGTTATCACAGTACAATGGTACTGGATCACTAGCATCAGGAATGACACCCAACTCTTGGATGAATTTCCTTATCCAAGTCCCTTCTTTTGCAGCTTCAGACGCTGCAATGTATTCCGCTTCGGTAGTGGAATCGGCCGTCGTGCTTTGCTTGGAACTCTTCCAACACACGGCACCACCATTAAGCGTGAATATAAATCCAGAATTCGACTTTGAGTCGTCCACGTCCGATTGAAAACTAGAGTCAGTGAAACCCTCTAATTTCAACTCGGTACCCCCATAGACCAAAAATATATCCTTAGTCCTTCGCAAGTACTTGAGGATATCTTTCACGGCTTTCCAGTGAGCCGGGCCGGGGTTAGACTGATA